CTGGAGATCCCGCGATTATAGATGATTACAAAATCCAGCAAAACACAGGCATCTGGGGGAGGTGTGTGTTCCACAGGATAAACTGGAGTGACCAGAGAGTTTCAGTAGAGACATTTATTTATTCTGGGTAAAAGACGACAGCTAGATCCTGGAGAATCCAATTGTCAAGTTTGAATTATCTCTCTAGTGCTGGCTGTAATCATAAGGTTAGGGTGGACCATTCAGGCATGCTCTCAGCCGGGTGAAGAGATAGCAGAGAAAATGACAGGAGTTTTTGTGTAAGATCTGAGTTGGAGGCGGGTAGCCATCGCTGAATACCGATGGCAGAATCTGACAACTGATAGGGTCCCAGGGTTTCTTTTCTGGAGAACTGGTACCAAATGAGGGTTGAATTTGTTGAACACGAGGACTAAGTTTTAACCTGGAAGGCACTTTGTTTTTTTTTTTTTTTAGATTTACTGACCTCAGACTCTGTGAACCCTGGGTTAAGATTAAGATCAAGGCAGAGGGAGGCCAGCTGTGGCATCAAGTGACCTTTAGCAGAGCATTTTTCTTCTTTGCTCATTTATTGGTGGGGATTAAGAGTACCTGCCTTGTCCTATAGGGCCATTGTTATCTAAGAGATGATGAAGATTAAGTGTCCGGAAAGCTGTAAGGTGTCATGCAGATAGAGAGTTTTATTATGAACACGTGTCAGGTAATGTATTACTGTAATGCCCCCTCCTTGATACCTGTGTGCCTACGCGCTTATCTGTGCCCAGGGGTGGGGAAGACAAGGGCAGGAATAAAATGGAGGAAGGGTAGTGCGCATTTCACCACAGGAGGAAGTGCTGCAATCCTTGCTGTGTGTTGTCTCTGGTCTCGCCTTCCTCTAAACATTTCTGGTCGGAGAAGACTGCTTCTCACCCTCCCCTTCTTCCCATCCAGCTGGCCTGTGATGTGACGGGCTGGGCTTCCGTGTGGAACAAAGAAAGGAATAGGACCCAGCTTCAGTAAGGAGGTACAGTGCACAATGCGTAGGAAAATCATCTCAATGGGCAGAGGGAAGATGGAATGAGCTTGAGCATGTGTGCTGGTGCTGCTGGTGGTGCTGGTGGTGGTGTCTGGGTCTGTTTATTGTTTTCCCCCCATATCCTGATGTACTGACTGTCCAAGCAACCATTCCAGTTTTCAGCGATGGGAAAGACTGTTTTCTTCCAGCTCCATGTAGTGGGGGCTATTCTGGGGGCTAACAAATTGGAGAAGCACTTCTGCTTTGAGATACAGGAGATTGGAACCCAGGGCCGTGCACACAATATGCAAATACTCTACCACTGAGCTAGATCTCCTGTCTTGGTCTCTTGAGACAGGCTCTCCCTATATAGCCTGGGCTGTCCATAGGCTTGCGTTCTTTTTCTTGTCCCTCCCCAGTACTGGGATTACTGGTGTCTACCACTGGGAGACACAAGAAAAGGTTCTTAATAGACCTTAAACTTCTGAGGTGGCTTAGTGATATTAATTTATTTTTTACAAAAAGATAGGGAAAGGAGGGGCTGGGAAATTGACATTGGAGATCAGGTATTTATTATCTTAAGTTTGTCAAAACAAACAAACAAACAAACAAACAAACAAGAACCCCAAACACTGTGCTTATATTATACTCCATAATTTATAGGTAGGGCCACTGAGTTTCAGAAAATCTTAGTGACTGCTTCAGCTATGCAGAGAGTAGGCCAACAATCTGATATTTAGCACAGATTCCTTTCATTCCTAATCCCGTGACTTTTCTGACATGGTACCCATGCCGGAGACCTCTAAACAGTCATTGAATGATGCAATACCGAATCACTCTTCAGAAAAGGATTTGCTTTTACTTAGGTGTTGCATTCAACAGCTTCAGACTGAAGGGAAGCCTTCTGCTGTGTGAGAAGTCACCCTCAGCCTGTGGCTGGTAGTAGACAAGAGGAGTCTTTTAGAAAAGGTTGATTCCAAGAAGGAAGAGACCAGGAGACCACGAGAAGGAGAGAACACATGGACTTGGACTCACGGGTTCTCCAGACTCTAGAGTCAGATTAAGTCCTCATTGGGGTTTGTCTATGACAGGGAGTCTAAAGGAACTCAGTTTGCAATGCCTTGGTGGGTACCTAGGCGTCCACTATACTCTTAAGGGAATGCATACCCAGAAATCTTTGAGGAAAGCAAGATATAAGAAAAACAAGAACAGTTGTGGAATGCTTGCCTTGAGTGTTACACTAAATGCTCACATGCATCCTCCCGTTTCTTGCCTTCATCATGGTGCCTATTGGCACCATGCACCTTCCAAGGTTTCTCATGGAGATACATTTGGACTAACATGAAGCATGGGGGAGATCTTGTTTTGAATTAAATACTAAAAAAGTTGGTTATTTTACAAGCTTGGGCAAGTTTTTATTGGTGCCTCACGTTTCCCATCTTGAGGAATAATAGCATCCGCTTCGCAGTATAGCGTGAAGAAGACATGAAGAATGTATTTGAACCATTTAGTGTGATACAGAATACAGAAAACACTGCATTAGTATTGGTTTTCTGGTGGTGTCTCATTTACAGTACACATAAAAGCTACACGTTGAATCACGTTGTGTAGAGAAGTGGATTATTCCTACATTTACTGTGGGCACAGTGGAGAATAGTTGAGGAGAGCTGATGCTTGATTTATACACAGGAATCTGAGCACCACGCAAGGGTGGTGGTGGAGAAGCTGTACCATCTTGTTACTCATCTCTTACATTTAAAGATCTTCGTAGCTCCTGATGAGCCTTGTTTCTGTGACATCCCTAAGGTCAAGCGAGGGAAGGCTATGCCACTGATCAGTAAATTGTTCAAGGAATCCTAGTGCCTGTATCTTGCTTGGTCTTGCCTGAGTTGTCTTTTTTAATTCGAAGACTTGGAGCTACATTTTTCTAAATCTTACTATTATTATAATCAGACCAGGCCATACACAGCAATGTATAACGTAGGGCCTTGTGTGATACAGATGTTTCATCTTTTATTCTTGCTATGCTCAGAGTCCTGAGTTATGCTTGAGTGAGATGCTGATGCAGTTGAAGAATCCCAAGTCTTGGCAGAGCATCAGTCTCATAATTGTAACCGACAACTTGCGTGTGTATGCAACACCATCTTCTACCAGCATTGGTTTACTTTCTGTGTTATTGACTGGATACCACTTGTATTTTTACTTAAGTTAAGGAAACAGGCTTACTAACCTGAGCTCCTGCTTTAACAAAGCAGGCCTGGGATTTGAACTCAGATCTTTTTTTAGTCAGCTACAACAGAAAGCTGCCAACATCCCTGGGTGTTGGCGTCATCGCTCTAATACGCAGGGCTTATATTTGCATAATGTTACTGGGTGCCTATTCTGACCTTCGTTCCAGTCCCCAGCTATTGTGTTCTGTGTGGAATGAACTCCGCTGAGACATTTAGAGCACAGAGTATGTTACGTAGTAAAGGAAGGCACTCTGGAAGGACAAGCCTGGTAATGGCTAAGGTGACCATCATGGAGGAAAACACACACACACACACACATTGGAATAGAGGCTCTTTAGCTGTTAATCCTCCGGTTCTGTGATGCCTAGACATCTGGTGCTCCCAAAGGCTGATTCCTGACGACGTTTTCACGGTGACTGGTGGATTGAGATGTCTTAGAGTAAGGAGATTATCACCAAGGCAGAATGACTCCACCTTGGTTGTCCCAGGCTACTACGGTTTCGATATGACCAGGATGACAGGTGGTGACTTTTGTTTGTTTAGGTTGTACTCATAGCTCAGAATCATGCTCGTCACCTCAGTTACTCCTTGGCTCTTTAGTTGTCCATGGAAGCAGGAGATCAGGGTATGGAATGATTAGCCAGGGTCTTTAAAATTATTTAATTAAAAAAACTTTAATATGTCATAGACTAAGATGTTTATAAAATTAAAAATAAATCACTAGAGAAATAAAATTTAAAAAACAGGCTCAAAAATATACCACCCACTTAAAAGTTATTCAGGTCAAGAGGCATCAAATTACTCAGATATGTTATAATGAAAGCCTCCCTACATGTTTTTGATTTTGTCCCTATTTCTTCCATGACTGGTAATCCAGGTTTATGAATTATGTGTGAGGTTATCATTGGGGAGCACTCTTCCCTAGAGGAAAAATATTCAGCGATAAAATAGGGTTCTGCACCTGGAGCTCCTAGATATAAACCAGAGAACCCAGTGAACTTGGAAGGGAGAAATAGTTCCATATTCTTTATTAATCTCTAACTGAAATTTATCATTTCTTTTCAGTACAAATTTTGTCTAAAAACCACAGTACTGTTAAGTAGTACTTGTGATATTGGTCCAAGAGGTTGTATTACTTTATATAGTTAAGATAATATTGAGAGAATGCTAATATTCATCACTACTTTGAAATTTCAACAATCATTATGCTTATTATATCATTAGTCAGAATATCATTAATTAAAATTGCTATTGCAATTAAAAATACCCTAGTGACCATTTCATTATGAGCAGTTCCCTTTGTACCTTTTGCACGTCTTACACATACATTTAAAACAGCTCTAAGCATATCCAGATATGAGGTGGCCAAAGGGTCTCTGTAGCATAAACAATGTCAACAGTTTCATGGTGTTAAGAAAAGATCAAAGATATTCTCCTTAGCTCAGGGGTTTTCAACCTTCCTGGTTGAGATATAATACAATTCCTCATGTTGTGGTGACCCCCAACAATAATTACTTTCGTTGTCACTTCATAACTGTAATGTTTCTACTGTTATGAATCATAAATATCTGATAAGCATGATAGTCTCATGCTCTTTAAAGGATCCTTTGACCCCTGCAGGGGTTTCCAGTCATGGATCGAGAACCACTGCTGTAGGAGAAGAACCATTATTGATTAACTAACAGTTCTGCTCTTGGAAACGAAAGCTGGTCTGTGATTTGCGTTCAAAGGCCATTAACATTTCCATGATTGGCCAGGAAGCAATCACCAGCCCCTGGACTGTTTTCTGTGGATTGCTCTCCTCGGCCTTTATTGCTGGGCCATTCTTCAGAACCACAGGGAGCAGCTGCAGCAGGCAATGAGGTTTGTCTATGAACTGCATATTCCTTTGTGGCTTCAGACTTGTGTGCAAGTGTGTGTGTAAGGGTTGGCATGAATCTGTGCTGACCGCCTTTGGTCAAAGTGTCTTTGATACTTTGTATGGGCAGAAAACAACAACCACCACCCGAATGAAACATTTAAAATTGAACTCATGTATCTTGTCCCTGGGTAGGTCTGTATATCTGTGCATTTATGTGTGCATTTCCCTGGGTTTATACACCATCTTTAAGCCTGATGATAGATAAATCTATGTATCTGTGCATGATGGTATTGAAGTGGGAAGAATAGTATTCGGGGTGAGAATTAGGGAAATGAGGAAAAGGAATACTATCTGGAGGAAAGACCGAAGCTTCGTGGGACAGACTTTCTGGCAAGGAGTGGCGCTGTGGCTGAGGAGTGGCGATTGCAGTATCCATGATATTAGGACAAGGGAGGCTCGACCACTGTCCTTATGGGTTCGGCGTCTTTATTGATCAGACACAGAGTTGTTTTAGGGAAGAAGCTGAGGCGATGTGACTCCACGTGTAACGATGTTGAGATGAATATGTCAGGTAGGGGTTGGAGGAGATTTCATGTGGCCTTAGAGGGAAGTCAGCAAGGGAATCATGCATGTTTGAACAGGTAATCAGAAGCGATACAGAATTGAAGTGCCCAGGGGGAGAGGAGAGGCCAGTGGGTTATTCGCGGCTTCTTCCTGGTGACAGTTAATAGTTACTAAGTTGCTCAAGCCTGTCTAGACATTTGTGGGTATCTCTTTTCTGATTGGCCACAGATCTAAGGTAGAGCTATTGTTGGGGACAGGAAGAGATCAGCTCCATGGGTCTCACTGGAAAAGGCTGCCAGTGTTCCCTGCAGCTCTGGTGTGCACCAGGGGGACTCCTGATATCTAAGCCCTCTGTTGGTCTGGTGTCACAATGTAGGACAGAGATCACTTGTGGAAAAGCAAACGGGTGGGTGACTACAGGGAGTGGTTCTTGGTTTACTGTTCGGGGAAGGTGCCTGATGAAGTGGAATGACATTCTCTCCAGTGTTCCGGATTCACTGTGCCACACACACCTCCGCTTCTCACTTAAGTAGTTATTCCCTCACAGTGGAGTTTTAATGAACTAATAAGTCATGTAACAAAGTATTCCATTAGCGTGGGGCTAGACGGACCCAGACGAAGAAATTTCCAAGCAAAACTGGTTCAGACTGTTATGGTGGGGTTACAAGGAAGGCAACGTCTTGTGTACCCCGGCTTGAAGTAACAGAAGGATGCTATCTCTTCAAAGAATCCTGGAGAAACTGAGGTCCAGTGTTAAATGTCCCCCCCTCTCCTATGAGGTCACACACCCATTCTCAAATTAGCCTTGGGATCATGGATCAAGCTGCTATTGCTGAATACTTCTGAGAAACAGCAGGGTGTGTGGGAGCCTCCTTACTGTCTCATTCTGGCTCTCCGTGAAGTATTTTGCTAGATTTTTTTTTTTTTTTAAACCTGTGATCAAATGATTTCTAAAGAAGTGGCTTGGGCCAGCCATCAGCTTTCAACCCATCAGAGTAGAGGAGAGTTGTCCAGCTTTTCCAAGTTAACTGACAAGCCTACTTTAGCAATTTGGCCTCCATGTCATTTACCCATGCCCATAAGATGAGCCTTTGAAGTTATTTATTCAGAATGGCAAACTTGTATTGGACGATTCGTGTGAAGCAATGATCTTACCTTCTCTGTTACGTTTTCCCTGGCTGGCCTTTTCACAGCACAGCGCCCCCCCTCCCCACACGCTGCCTTCCCACAGACCTTATTTAGTACGACCCACCACGTTTTAGTTATTTATTTTTATTGTTTTTCCTTGTTTTACATATCGATCCCAGTTCCCTCTCCCTCTCTCTCATGTCCCCTGACTCCCTCCCATCCCATCCCATTCCACCTTCCCCCGCTCCACTCCACAGGGAGGGTGATGCCTTCCAGGAGGGATCATCAAAATCTGTCAAGTCATTTGGAGTTGGGTCTAGGCCCTCCCTCCTGTCTCTAGGATAGGGGAATATCTCTCCCTGGGGAATGTTCTCCCAAAGTCCTTTTGTGCACCAGGGATCCATCCTGGTTCCACAGTCTGAGTTCCCTTAGACTGCCCAGGCCTTCTAACTGAGACCCATGGTCATGGGGTCTGAGTCAGTCCTATGCTGGATTCCCAGCTGTCAGTCTGGGGTCCATGAGCTCCCCCTTGTTCAGGTCGGCTGTCTCTGTGGGTTTCTGTAGCCTCCTACCACATTGTTTATTTAGCCTGCTCTCTGTCTTTCCTATTCACAAGGATGTGAGTTCCACAAAGGCAGGGGTTTTTATGTTTTGGTTGCTGAGCATAACTGGCTCCTGGAAGGAGACCTGCACACAGTGGGGGCTTAGCCGGCACTCAGTAGGAGCTTAATAAGCATGGCAGATGAACGAACAGACTGCAAGCACACTCCCCTTCCTCTGAATACCACAGCGTTGATAACCTTATGACAGATACACCCGAGCAATGAGGCTCACTGGTAGCCTTTTCCTTTCAGACACATAGAATGTGCTGTGGGCCCTACACTCAAGGTGAGTAGATGTCTACAGGTGCTTATACAAATCCCTAGCTGCCGTGGAGACAGGTAACAGAACGTGGTTTCCTTTCGTAAGCCCATTGCTTGTCTTTAGATAGAAGCTTCTTTCAAGTACCTCACTCCTTAATGTAGAGACTCTCATTATTTCAAGGATATACATGGTTCTCTGCCTTTGTGGAACACAGTAGGTACTGGTATAAGGTCAGGCTCCCGGCTCTGTCACAGATCTGGCCTTTGTACTACCCAGTTTCTATAAATAACGGTTAGTTCAGTTGTGACACGGAGCAGACCATGCCAACTGGACAATGGTTATGAGAACGAAAGAAAGTCATGCATGTAAGGCATGCTTAGCCAGCTCGGATGATCTGCAGGCCAGCCCTGGCTAATGAGCCAGAGGAGACATGCTAAGACCACAGTCTCCCACAAAGCATCAGCTGCGATACCCCGTGTGCTGTGGGCACGGAACACAGAGTGGATGTGGAAAGCACGGCTGTGTGGTCCAAAGGGCAGGTGTTCAGGTCCGGGCTGCCCTGCTTATCTGTTGCATGGAGGTAATGAGAGCTGCTGAAGCTTAGCTTATTCATCCCAGGGATACCAGCTGTAGTTCTCAGGGGCTGTCATGAGGGCTGCGTGTGGGAAGTAGGGAAAGTTCTTAGCACATTTGCTTGATCGTCCACTACGATTGTCATCAGCACTAACACTGAAATGATACCCTTGCTAAACAAAAAGAACATTCAACGAACGATGACAGATTGCTACACAACCGTTGTTAAAAGCATCTTTTTTAAAGCACTCTATCCTAATTCTTAAATTGGTCTCTTTCTGTTTTTCTTGTTCTTTATACCTCCCTCCCCCTGCTTCTAGAGAGGAATAGAAGTTTCTCTCTTCACAGGAGCCCTGCCCTGGGCGGATCATCCCCAGCTTTCCTCCTAGTTAGAGTCCAGACCTTCAGTCAGTAGTTCTGATCAAATGTGCCTTTCCTGCTGCACCAGGGTCTGCCCCGAGCCCCAGGAGAAGCCCTACAGTTGGAGGCAGCAAGAAGCCTCTGCTAGGCATGTAGTTTTAACTTCAGGAATGCCATGGGCACCCACAGTGATACTTGTGGTATTCTGCCATATTTCAACTCCTGTGCAAGTTGCTATTGCAGGGAGTCCTACAGCTAAGTGCTAAAGTCTCCCCAGCACTCAGGGAATTCAGTTTCCAAGTCCTTCTTTTCTTTTAAACTTGAAGAAAGTTTTTAAAATTGTGGCTCTGATAATGGAACCCAGGCCTGACATGTGGCAGGAGGACTCTCGAGGTGTCTCCTCAGTGTAATTAAAGGGGCTGTCACCTCAAGTTACCAATGGCATTTGTCTTCTTAGTTTACAGGAGGTCTACATTCATCTATCAGTTCTCCAGATGTATGGTTCCCTTTAGCTCTCTCTCTCTCTCTCTCTCTCTCTCTCTCTCTCTCTCTCACACACACACACACACACACACACACACACACACGGGCGAGAGAGAGACAGATATAAAATTCTAGAATCAGAATAATCAGTGGACAGCTAGGTTGAAGCCGGTGTGTGGAAGGCCACCCGCAGAATTCACCAATGATCACATGAGCTTAACTGTTTATTCAACCTGAGCAGTTGTTACCAGAATCTAAAGGCCTTTTCTTGCTTAGCTTCAAAAGAAACAAAACCAAAACCTGAAATCCACAGAAATCAAAGCCTGGAGACAGTGAGATTGGAGGAAGGGATGGACTTCCTCAAGGCCAAGCTTGAAGACAACAGACTTCTCTGTCTCAGGCCTCCATCCTGTAGGTTAGGTTAGGTGCAGTAGGAAAATCTCAGAGCTGGGCAGTCTTTCTCCATGGGCATGTCTCATCCCGTTCTCTGAAAGGCCAAATTGACTAGAACCAGTGTGTGTGTTTTCTTTGCAGACAGGGATACTATTTTCTGTGAGGCCATTTTTGTAGGCTGAGGAGGGACTGGGTAATTCCAGAATCAACAGACAGTGCCAGGCTGCGGAGAAGCAGAAGTGGTAACAGGGTTTCCAGTGCCAGCATTGAAGACTAGGGGGAGAGAGCAGAGGTTAGAAGAGGCAGGCTGCTCCGGCTCTGTTCGCCCAACCCTTCAGAGCGCTTCAAGTGAAGTCAGAGCTGCCTGTCCGCACGCAGTGTTGTCTGTGCGAATCACGATCTTTAATGCCTTTACAATAGTTAGACTCCAAATGTCATGAAGACCCACAGCTCCCCTTCCGAACTCTGAAACAGTCGGCATCTATATTTGTTTCTCTTCCCTCTCAGATCTTCAGGTGGGGCCCACACATGGTCTGGACGTCTCTTTGGGGCACGTGTGGGTGGAATTTTCTTGGACTGGGAACTTCCTGTTTCCTCTGATTTTCTCACAGTCACCCCCTCATAGGAATGTTGATCG